GGTATGGGGCAATGACCTGATGGATCTTCTCTAAATGGCAGGGCTAAGATACAGCCAAGCCAAGACATGGCTTGTCTGACTTCAAGTCGCCAGGATAGGAGAGTTGCCAGGGGTGTTACTGACAAGAACCTGGGAGATTTGAGGAAGCCAGGTGTCTTGCACGACATCAACTCGCTGGCCACTTAATTTCTCTCCACCTGAAGTGACCCCCATCCTAGAATTCGGAGCTGGGGGCTGGAAGGAACAGAGGTTAACGAGGCCACTGGAGGGCGCTGTGGAGGAGGTCGATCCAGGTGAAAGGAGGGCCCTCTGAGGCCTGCAGAGGAAGATGCTGTGCGTGGCCACAGTGGGAGGGAGGAAATTCTGCCAGTCCAGGAAGGGGTGGCGGGAGACCGGCAGGTCAGGTGCTTCCCCGGGATCCAGGCGTCAAGTTCTGGGGACTGTCTCGCTTCTCAGAGAGGCCAGCGTCCCTGTGGGGCGGGGATGGTGTCTGGGAGGCCCCGGGGCCCCTGGGGCTTGGCCAGGCCGGCGCCAGCCAAAGAGTTGAAAGGAGGCCGCAGTCCGGGCTCGCCACTTCCCACCGCGCCCCCGGGGCGAGGGCCAGAGCCAGGCCTAGGCCAGGCTCACCTCTGGGCTGCAGGCCACTTGAAGGAGGACGCGTTCGGGCCCAGGGCCAGCCCTGCGGTGGTAAGATTCGCATCCGGGGCACCCGCCCAAGAACAATTGTCTTCATCAGACCTCCTAAACAACCTGGGCCTGCAGTGAAACGAACCCTAAAACCGAGGCGCTCTCCAGTCCTTCCCGGGCCACCCAGTTCTGCCCGACCCTGACCGCCCTGCTGTTGATCTCTGGGCGTCCCAGATCTCTTTCTTCCTCATGGGATTTAGGAGCCCCAAAACCTCAGCCCTTGGATAATCCCGATGCTATCCAGGCTGCTGCACCACGAGCCTCTTTGGTTTTACCAGCGTGGGCAGACACTGATCCGCTACAAAATGAAAATGCCTTCACTGATAGCTAGCTGGGCCGCAGAGATGCCCTGATCGTCCCCCAGGGCCAGCGCTCATCCCTGGTAAGGGCTCGAACGAGTTAAATCCAGAACTGGGGTCCGGGGGACCCAGGCTGCTCTCCCATCCACGAAGAGCCTGTTTGTCACTGGGTGACCCACTCACGAGATGACGCTTGGAAATGTGGGGAATGCGTGGATTCTCGAACCCAATTGATGTTCAAATCCCAACTCTGCCCATTTTAGCTGTGTGATAGGGGGAAACAGCGCAGGGCCTCAGTTTTCTCCCCTGTAAAAATCGTCTGTGTTGTGTAGGAAGGCAGGCGGGGAAGCGCGTGTATGAAATCCCAGCACCCAGTAGGCACTGAATAACGGCGTGTTCTTGCGGAATCACAACCACTTACCAGTCTAGGTGTGGGACTCTGAGTAACCAACCCAATGTTTTTTAGCCCAGAAAGAAATTGATCCGTAAAAGGCCAGACCCGGAACCCCCTGCCCATTCCGCCTCCCCTTGAAACGTTAAAGACTGAATTCAAAGACCCAGTATAGGCATGAATGGGAGCTCCAAGCCCAGATAGAATTCACGACTATCTCACCTCACACATTAGCTCGCCGCTCCATTCCAGCAAACATTTATGGAGCACCTTCTGTATGCACGCTCGATCCAGAGAAGGAATTTGAAAACAAAACGAGGATGGGGATGGGGGGCGCAAAAGGCTAGACGAAAAGACACAAATGGATAAACTAGTGGAAGGAGGCCGGGACTCAGGGCGAGAAGCCAGAGGCAGAGGCGGGCGGGGGTCCCAGGGCGGCGGGCGGGG